CTTTTTCAGTCCGATGACGCTGAGCTGGTCTGGATCTAAGTCCCACATCAATCCGTAGAGCTTTATGAGCCGTTTGTCCACTCTGTCTTCCGCCGGAATATGTTGCAGGACTGGTTGTAAATCAGAAGTGAACTCGCGGAGGTTCATAGACATTCCGCGGAACAACTCCTTCGTGTCCTGATACATTTTCACAGCTTCTGGGAGTTTGTTGAATCCCAGAGTGACGTTGTCCACGTAGCAGTTGTGTACAAGGTCGTACTTCAACTTCTCGGGAAGGTTGGAGCTCTTGATGTAGTACTGGATGGAAGCAGACAGCAAGAACGGAGAACTGGTTAGGCCAAAGGGCACACGGCAAAATCGATACTCTAGAAGATCTGTAGGTGAACCATTTTTGCGTTCGAGCTCGATCGCTCGAGAAGGGTCTGCTGAGGAGAGAATCCGTTCGACAACTTCTGGCTTGAACCACAGAAACCTGGTTGCATCCCTGTCCACTTCCTGAAGTGCGATCTGGTGAAAGGCCTTCTCGATGTCGCTGATTAGCAAGTGTCGATACGTCCTGACTCGTAGAAGCACATTCAAAAGCGGCGGAATGAGTGAAGGTCCTGGTAGTAGTTTGTCGTTCAAGGACGGATGCCCCTTCAGCTTCGCACTTCCGTCGTAAACGAGACGAATTTCTGTAGTTGATCCTGGTTTGAAGACTGGGTGGTGAGAAAGATAGTGGATCTGGTTGTGAACGCTCTGTTTGTTTGGGACTAGTTCGATGATGCCGCTCGACAACTGCTTCATAATCTGTTCATCGTAGCTTCTGAGGAGATCTGGCTTGGCTGAGAAACTCTTCAAAGTAGCGAAGGTTCTGGGAATTGCCAATGTCTTGTTGCTGGGAAGAGGAGATAACTCTTCTTTGTTCCAAGGCAGACGTACTGACAATCTGCCTTTCGTGAAGCATACAGATTCCAGAAACTGAGCTGTTGCTTTGCGTGCTTCATCGGCTGCTTTGTTGGCTGCGAGCTGGTGGTCTGGGATACCGATGTTAATGTATCGCCAAGGGTCATCAGTGACTTGTCTGGATAGATCCCGAAATTCCGGTGGACTGTCCGAATCCGACGCTGGTTGTAGAAATTGTGAAGCTGTTTTCTTCTTCGGGGTGCTTGTGCTGGACTGTGGTTTGTTGGAAATCTGGTCCTGTCGTTTGCTGTGTGTATTCGCAATGAAGGTCTGAGTACCGTAAGGAAGGATCAAATCCCGCCCACGATACCTTTCCTCGTTCAATTGCTGGAAAAGCGCGAATTCGACGTGATTGATGCCGCTGACGACTGGACCAAAGATGTAGTGGTCAACAAACTTTCCCGAAGGCAGCTGGATTGGAACACGAGCAGGATCCCGTAATCTGTTTATGAGGTCCTGTCCAATGAGCATGGAGCACACAACGTAATGTTTGCGACCTGGGAAGTACTCCAATTGAATGTTGTGTTGCTGTAGGGCGGCACGATCGGCTGGGCTGAGTTTCCAAATCTTCACTTGGACTTCGGCCAAAGTCGTGACATCGATGGGAATCGTGCCAATGCCTGGGATTGCAATCTTCGTGAGATGTACTTCTGGAGAGACGACGCCGTCGAACTGTTTAATGTTTCGGCGCGTCTTGCCGAGGTCTGGAAATGGGTAGCTCTGGAAAAGTTCAGGAGTCATATAAGACTTTGAAGATCCTGTGTCGAGAAAAGCGTCGACAAATATGGTTTCGGAAGGACTGGAGGGATCAACGATGGGTATCGTCAATAGTTGCATCTGTGACTGGCACACTACTGCGTCACCAGAGTTAGTGAGGTAGGTGGATGTGAGGTAGACTTCGGGGCTGATGGACTGGATAGGGGACTCATTGTTGGTCGGACTCAAGAAAAAAGTCCTGACCGCAGTCGTCCTGGATGGTGAGTTCGACGCACTCGTCGACGATCTGCTCCTCGTCTTCATCCTCACTTCCGGAGGATTGCTCCTCCGCAATGTTGGTGCGCCTTTCCTCCTGTCTGCGCACTGGTGTCGACGTAGTGTTGCGCGAGGCCTGGTTGGAATTCGAAACGGCAGGTGTGTTGGTGGATGTCTTTGGAGTGAACCGTTGTCCGGAGGTCTGGTTGAAACGACGATCATTGATGCCATCGCGGCGGGGTGTTTGCGGAGTGTTGCTGTTTGTACGACGATTGAAGGTGGAACTGTTGAAAGACGTAGTGTCCTTCTTGGTCACCAAGTCGCAGAGTTTGTGGAATTTGCTGTGATGATTTCCACCGCAGCTTCCGCATTTGTTGCCCTTGCAGCTCGACTGATCGTGATCCATTTCCAAACAGATATGGCATCTGCCTTGGTAGGAGATACTGTTCCACTGTTCCTGTGTACCGGTAAGTTTCGTGCAGAGGCTGGGTCTGTGTCCTTTCTCTTGGCAGAACGGGCACATGATGTTCTGGGCTTGGATGTCGTACTGAACAATTTCGACTTGACGATTGTTGGCGAAGCCTCTGGTATGCTCTTGCAGCAATTCTACCATTTCCAAAATTGGAGTAGTAGAAATGACTGTAGGATTGAATTTGAAAAAATTCTCGGGGAGGGGGCGGTCTGTGGGCCGCAACGCGACCGCACGGCGCGGGCGTCATTAGTACTCCAACGTACTCCCTTCGTGAAAATTTTCAAATTTTACGCAAAAACTACCCAAAACGCGATGGAAATGCGTAGGGAGTAAACTCATCCAATCCAATCGTGAAGTGAAGCTTTCATCCAAAATGAAATCGAAAGCAGCGAAGAGAAGAACTGTGAATCCTCAGAACTAGTCTGGTAGAATGTTGAGGCGAGCTGTTTGTAGTTCAAAAATTTGAACTATTCTGTGTGTAAACTCTGTATCTGGGTAGTTCAAAAGGAACTACTGTTTGTATTATATCATGTGTGGTCTTCGTTATGCGCAACGGCATCGGCGCAGCGACGTATGACGGGCTGCGGGTATGTCGGCGCTTCGTAGTATCTGTGTTGGGTCAAGAAAACGAAAAGGAAAAACAAAATTCTTCCAATTACCTTTTTCAATAACCATAAATGGCTAAAGAAAAGGGCAACCTTCCGAAAATTGTATTCCATACCTCGTTTTTGCAATCCTGGTGGAAGCCGCACGGTCGTAACGTCCCATTTTCCGCTTGAAAAGCATCGGGCAGCGAGCAACCTCCTTCCTGGAACGCGAATCGAAGCTTGACCAACTTAGAACGACATCGACTTCATCCTTTCGAGCTGTTGACCACCTGAAAAACTGCGAAACGACGGGTTTTGGCGATCTGGGACCGGAAAATCGACCACACCCGGTCCAACTCTCGAAGGACTGGCTGTGAAAAAACATCATACGGTTTTTCCAACGCTTCTGCTTCTTTCTTGAAACTCTTCGCGCATCTGTAAAACTTCTAGTGCTTCTGAACGGCGTCCCGCTGGGAGATCTTGTAGCTGGGAAGGCCTGGATTCCACATTGAGCAGCTCTCGGAGAAACTGGTTATCTATCCCCTCTTCGCCCGCTTTCCCTCAAGCTGAAGCACCGCGTGGAGTTGAGACTAACTCTAACTCGTACCGCTATCAACGCACATTGACCATAAGCTGATGGCCAGTCGTGCACCCAGGGATTTAAAAATGCCAGTACCTCTTGGGTCAGCGGGGTGCTTGGCGCGGAAGAGTGCCTCTGGCCAGGGGCTGGGCGTGGAAACTGTTTCTGGGAGGTCCAGCGTATTGTGACGACTGGAAAATTGCCTTTGTACGAAGGCAATGAAGCTGCTGTTCTGTGAAACCGAGGTTTCAATTTCTCTGTGTGCCGTTCTGGTTGTAAACTCTAAAAAATAGAGAAGAAAGAAAGGGAAAATAAACCAAAATGAAAAGAGGAGAGTTGGTACGCAATGGATCTCGACCTGGGTTCATTCAAAACGGCCAAAACGCACCATGTCGAAAAGGAATAGCAATCCCGCACTATTAGGAATAAATCCCAATAATGCCCACGCGAGGGATTTGCCACCTATCCCCTTAACGATGACCTGCTTACTCCCATACACGGGGATCATCGGTTTTCAGCGGGGTCTGTGTAATATACGCCAAGACGAATGTCCACCAACAGACCATGAATGAGATCCAATGCGATTACCAATAAGAGAACACTTGTTATAGACAAAAGGTTTATTAGTACAGAAAAGGCGACACTGGGAAGAGATACACAAGATCCGAGTAGAAGCACTGTTTGTAAGACAGAAACGGTTAAGTCTCAATAGGAAGAGAAGGGCTGGTTGTAAGAGTAATTCTGCCACTCCAATCGGGCTTCGGACACGGCAGAAGCCGAAAGTCCTACCAAATCAACCAAACCAGTCGCGCAGCGACTGGCGGCAACGACGCCCTTTCGGGAAGAGGTTGACGGTTAATCGGCCATAATTCGGCGCCCTTTTGGGGGCCCTCTCTGCCTACCGTAGCCGGCGGGGCGAGGGGCACGGGATAGCAAGCCACCCCCCAAGGCGCCCAATGCGAATAAATCTCGTAAGTCCTGTACTTAGTACAGAACTTTCGACAGTTTTTCTGGATAAACCCAACGGTTTGACATGCTGTTGCGACTCTAATCGCATTCAGCGTAAAAAACTACCCCAGAAAGACTCGAAAAAGCGATAAAAAAGTGTCTCCTAATAGGTACCCAAAGTGGCCCCCCCCAACTTGATAAGTACCAAGTGTTATATTAGATGAAATACGGTATTTACTGTTAGCGGCCGCGTAATCCCGTTTGTGGAATTTTATTTAACATGTTATTTTTGGAAATTAGTAAAGTACACCCAGTACACCCGGTACACCCGGATGGAAAGAGTGGGCGTAGCGCGAGAGTGCAGACATTTTTTCTCTGCGTCTTTCTCCCCTTTCCTTGCTATCGCGAAACGGGTGTACCGGGGTACCGGGTGTATTTTACAAATTGCCTTATTTTTTGGTCTTACAACTGGCAAAGCAAGGAGTATACTCAATAGATGGAGGCTTCGACTATGATGGCCAGCGGAAATGTCGGGGTACGGTCCCGCAGCTTGCCTGCGCGCTTCGTTGTGGTAAGTATATTTTTTTGCTTGTTTGCTGCTACAACGCAAAGGCACAAACTAGCGGCTAACCACCCTATATAAAATGAAACGGCAATTCTCCACCATTCCGTTTCATTCCGATGTACAGTTGGCGTATTTTGGTGTTCTACGTACTACTTCGGGGGCTGAATGGACGGTTTGTAAGCTAGATATCTCGCGACAGAGATTTTTCCCAATAGTTTTTTCAACTGTTCTAGAATCAGCTCGGCCCGCTGAGCATTTTGACATATAAAAATCGAAAATCCGTTTAGTGACCATATACGACACTCGCCAACTTTGAAGTGTTATAACTCGCTCCAGAAGTGTTTCCCAATAGTTTTTTCAACTGATCCTGAACCAGCTCGAACTACTGAGCATTTTGGTATATAAAAATCCAAAATCGGTTTAGTGACCATATAAGGCAATTTTCCCCAACTTTGAGACCCCTCGGCTGTGGGGGGTAAAGTAAACTCTTACCTAGAATTTTACAAAGTTAAAGCTGGTTTTATTCCTTTTTGGGGGTCCGGGCAGGCTAATTTGCATAATGTGAAAAAAATACAAATTTTCTCATTCTTGCCAGTTTCACTCATGAGTTTGGTCGTCATTTTGGATCTGCCTCTCGATGCTTTTACTTCCCTCTGCCCCGGGCAATGCCCAAAAGGGGTTTTTGGCGCGTGCTGCCAAGCATTGCATGGTGTAGTGGTTAGCGCTTCGCCCTGCTAATCTAACCATCGGAGGTTCGATCCTCGGATATCTTAGTTGTTTTGCTTTTTGCTCGGGTTTCGGAATGGACTTCCGTGTGGGGACGTTATTATGAAGTTAGTCACTCAAACCTGCGCCGCAGCCTATAGAATGAAGCTACCCCCTCAAGCTTGCGCAGCAGGCCAAGGAATCAAGCTAACTGCTCAAGCTAGCGCCGCAGACTTTGGAACGACGCTAGCCGCTGAAATTAGCGCCGCAGGCTTCTGAAGGAAGTTAGCCGCACAAGCTTGCGCCGCAGGCTTTAGAACGAAGCTAGCCGTACAAGCTAGCGCCGCAGGCTTAAGGAAGGAGGTAACCGCTCAAGCTTGCGCCGCAGACTTTATCTCGAAGCAAACCGCTCGAGCTGGCCCCGCAGGCCAAAAAAAGGCAGCTAATCCCTCAAGCTTGGGCCGCAGGATGAGGTAGCGGCCTGCCGATCAAACATGCGCCGCAGGCCTAATAACGAGACTAGCAGTTCAAGCTTGCACCGAATACTACAGTGTGTGCCAAAATGATAGGGGAATGGAGTTTTTAGCCGTTTTCTCGGCCGTCCTCCATCTCCGTGTACAACCAAAATCATAGGCCTTATAGCCCGAAAAAAAGACGCGTCTTTTGGTTTACTTGAATTCTCTTTACGATAAAAGATCACGTTTTTAGAGGCGATTGTATAAAAATAGGGAAAAAACACAAGTGACAAAATGATAGGGGAATCATTAACATATTATTTCCATGAACTTTCTGTATGAATAGTGGATGTTGTTCCTTATATATAAAAAAATAGTGTTTGTGTGTGTGTGTGTGCCACTTTGCATCCACTTCCGTCTGTCTGTCCGGAGGATATCTCGATAGGGGATGGATTTTAAGGTACGTATGATACGTCATTAGGTGCGCAATGGTCTTGAGATGACTGCACACATATCAAATTTTACAAAATCACCTATTTTCGGCATTAAATTTAAGTTTTTGTGAAAACTTCTTTGTTAGAAAAAATTAGCATAGACCGGAAGTCGGGATTCGACTATATAAACGGTCAGAAGAGGTTGTTTTTCATTTTTGGTCATCTGAATTTAGGACAAATATGCAAAGTGAAGGATAAAATGGGGTCAGACGGGGCCAGGGTTGAAAAGTCGCGAAGCGGCTTTTCAACCCTGGTTGATTTTAATTACAGATTCATTGCAGGATAAGATGTAAAATCGTAATTTCTGGCCAAAATTCCGACCGGAAGTGGTCAGTCAAAATTTGCATCTAATTAGCATCTAATATTCATACTGAGAGTTGATGTTAACGATAAGTGAATGATTCCCCTATCATTTTGTCACTTGTGTTTTTTCCCTATTTTTATTCAATCGCTTGTAAAACTATTATCCTGTATCGTAGAAGTATTTCAAGTATACCAAAAGATGCGCGTTTTTCCGGACTACAAAGTCTGTAATTCGGTTTTAAAGCTACACGCAATATAGCAAAGAAATCGACCAAAAACTTCATTCCCCTATCATTTTGGCACACAATGTAATACAAAAAGAGGTTTGCATGAGAGTTGCGTTTGTCTTTCTTCAGGGTAACTTTATGTGGAAGGGAGCTCGATTCATAGGGACTAGACGGGGTCCAGCGGGGGAGAGTCGCAAAGCGGCTCCTCCCCCGCTGGTAATTGTATAATTATGGGGTATATGTCGGCTACGCGGGGGGAATTTTACGCGGGGGGACGGACTGTTGGGGCCGTGCTAACTATTTTTTTGCGTTTCTTTTTGCTACAAACAAAACTCTTAGTATATTTTTCGACGCTCTGTCGAATGGCACTAAAGAAATTTTGTAAAAATGTCGAAAATGTCGAAAACTTGATTTCCTTCTATGTCCTCCATGGAAACAACGTTTAATACTTGTTTTTGTTATAACTATTTTATATTACATTCTTTTGAGCTAAAATTAAAACTCTTAGTATATTTTTCGATGCTCTATCGAATGGCACCTTTAAAATGTCGAAAAAATAGCGCAAATGTCAAAAAACAGCCACTCAAACCGATTTTCGAAGCTTATTTTTGTATTTGCCATAACTTTTTTATATTACACTAATTTGAGCTAAAACAAAAACTCTTAGTATATTTTTCGGTGCTCTATCGAATGCCGCTGCAAAAATTCCGAGAAAATAACGAAAAAATCCAAAAATCCGTGCCTGTCCCGTCCCCCCCGCGTAAAATTTTCTCCCCCGCGTAGCCGACATATACCTAATTATGGTAACTATGATTGTTGTTTTGTAGGCGAGCATCATCGAAAAGCAGCAGCGCGAGATCGAGCGGCTGATGATGGAGAACGAGAAGCTTCGCCGGCAAATGTCTGACGTGCCACCGTTGAAGGACCCGTCCACGCAGGTAGGGTATGACAATCACCACAATACAAAATTATACGTTACTTACAGCCAAAAAATAGTGAAAAACTCTCTCTCGGTTCCTTTATATACTGGGTGTCCCAAAAAAAAGCACCCCCCTCTAGCGGTCCCGGGGAAGCTCAGATCAGGATGATTTTTATACCATTCGAAAGCCCGCAAAAAGGCGAGAAAACAAGCGGGCTTCATTTTCTAAGATTTATTCTTATTCGTCCGATATTCAACGTTTTTCAAAAAAGCAGGTAACTTTTCAATAGGAATTTCGCAATTAGCATGCAGATCTCGCGTAGATCTGCCGTTTTCATGCTTTTTGGAGGTGAAATTAGGGAATAAAAATTGATAATAAAGTAAATGAGCCCTCCTTGTTTGCTCGCCTTTTCGAGAGCTTTCCGAGTAATCGGACAAGACTGCGTGCCGCTAGAGGGGGGGGGGTGCTTTTTTTGGGACACCCTGTAGTCTACCGCAACCTCCGGCGTATGCAAATTGTTCCCTAAAAAAGAGAGCCCACGAAAATTTATGTTTGCAGTCATCTCCAGGCCGGTACGCATCTAATGACGTATCATACGTAGCCTAATACCCGTCCTTTCTTGAGATACCCTCCGGCTACCTTAACCAAAAAAGATCCAGGTTCCGACTCGGCGTGTTATGTATAAATTTTGCTTTTTGATGGGCCAGTAGCGCCGGTCCGCTAACCAAGCCGCACAAAAACGCCCCCTTGTATTCGGTCTGCATGCAGTTATTTCGCTATTCTCGTATTTGGAATATTACGCGTAGAAAAAGTTTGACTCTTGCATTTATTAAACAAAAAAAAATTGTTAAGCACATCGGAAACTTCCATTCACGGGGGGGGACCGAACTTTTTTCGGCTCAAGCCTAGATTTTTTATATAAATAGTGGAAGTGTTTCTAAATTGTTTATAGCTATTCCTAAGCATAAAAACTTTACAAAATTTAATTGACAAAATTTAATTTCAGGTCGAAAAATCAATTTTGTCCGGCCCAAAAATCTTTTCGACTTTTTCAAGCCTTTTTCTAACTTTTTAAAAAGTTTTTCCGATTTAGATAGGCTGAATTTTGCTAAAAACAATGTGAAGACACTTTATATTTGATTACTATCCCCACCAGGGCCGACGGGAAAAAAAGTGGTTTCCCCTTCCCCCCGCGAACAGCCGAGAGCCATTTTTTTGATATTCTTAGTTTTCCTTTCTTTGCTGATTTTCAAGCCCCAGCAAACCGCAACTAATAACTTCGATAGCTAGGTCAACTTATTTCGCAACATGCGCTTGTACCACCATTGCTTCAACTTTTACGCAGGGAGTTCCTCGGACTACACAAGAGCCCGATCCGGACGCGCCTGATCCCTATTATCAGCTTGCGTGGGTTCCAGCGTCGATCTTCGGAATCTGTTACTATCCTTTTGCGTCGGAAGAGGTGAGCGAATTAGAATTTAAAGGGATAGTTCAGGTTTTGGGGCTGGGGCCGGCTACAGAGGAGCCGGGTCTGGGCTACAGAGCGGGCAGAAAAAAGTACGGAGTTCTGGTCATTAATATGCTAGATATGAAGAATAAACCCGAGTTATTTTTCACAATTTCGACGACACGCTGCTCGTTTAGAATTTTTGAAATAAAGAAACTTTGAAGCTGTAAAGTATGGGTCTTTTTATTAGTTAAGGGGACTTAAAGAAGCATTCACCTCCCAGTTTTATGAAATCGGTCCACGCAATAGAAGGGTCTGTTGCCTAAAGCGTGGATATAAACCTTTTAGCGAAAAGGGTCTGCCCCGGCTCGATCCCATGAGCCGGTTGGCTCAATCGTTTTATGTTCGCTTGCCGCCCACAAGGTCCGGGTTCGACCCCGGCCGTGACGATGCTTTTTGCATTTTTCATAAAGAGCTTGGAGTCGGATGTTTCTTTAATGGGTATCAAAATGAAGCTCTCGGAGTGCGCTATCAGCTGGTGGTAGATAAGTTAGATTGGTTTAAATAACCGTCAAAAGGAGCATCGGAAAATCTGGACTTTTCCGTAACAATTGGTACGCTTTGTACGTTGAGGAATGGTAAAAACAGCTTTAAATACTTCCGCTATTTTTACTTTCGAAATTAGGTCCTAAGAAGAAAGGTTGGTCTTCCCTCCCCCCCTGGCCCCCCCGATAATGCGCAATAACACCGATACCGATGCCGATAATTCGGTATAATATCCGGTCCAAGCCGGCTTTTGGGGACCGGTAAAAGCAGCACATATACAATCCCAAGGCATCTATGCGGTGCACCGAGCTTGTGTTTCAGATCAGACTGGGCATCATCGTCATCGTTATCCTAAACCTTCTTCAAGTTGTAGGTGAGTGGTTAAAAGGGCCCGGAAGTCAAAATTCGCGCATCCGGGGGTTGAACCTACTGGCCAAAAAAACGAAACGTTCACTTCCTAGCAGTACCAAAACAAGGGTTGATTGCGAAAAAAGCGTAACATTTTTGAGTCGAACCGAAAAGTTTGGGGCGAAAGCGACTTTTTGAGTGTGCGGCGATTAAATGGCGTAATGCCTTGTAAGGCACCCAGTCTCTCAATCTCGGCGATTCTTTGATCAAGTTTTCTAATTAAAAAGTCTAGAATGACCAAAATTCGATGAGGATTCCAGAAATAGCTTCAAAAAAATTTTTCCATCGTTTTCAGCGTTTTCGTTTTCCTGAAATGCGGTTCCCCAAAAACGAAAAGTTCCGTGCGCTTTTTCGTTTTTCGAGCCGCCGAGACCAATTACTAATATTTTTGTGAAATGGATGGAATTCTGATGCTTCTCCGATGAGAAAGGGTTTTCTTAAAAAATCACAGTTTATGAATCCTTCCTTCAAAGGCCGAGAATCGCGCGAAAATTCGGGAATTTCGAAAATCGAAAAGAACATAATTCCGCAGCTCGTCGAGAGCTTTCGATAGATACCTCGTAAAAATCGGGGGGAGGGGTTTAGGACATCCTATATGAGCAATTGCAGTTTGCTTTCCGATTGCGGTCTATCAGTTGAAAAAGTATGAGGCCGCCATGGCTGCTGGGATTATGTCAACTGCCGCAACCACCAAAAACGTCGAAAAAGATCCAGATTCCGACTCGGCTTGTTATGTATAAATTTTGCTTTTTGATGGGCCAGTAGCGCCGGTCCGCTAACCAAGCCGCACAAAAACGCCCCCTTGTATTCGGTCTGCATGCAGTTATTTCGATGTTCTCGTATTTGGAATATTACGCGTAGAAAAGGTATCAGTTCAGTTCCCCGACAATCAGTTCCCCGACAATTATACAAAGCAACATAGCACCAGCCAGGCGGTGAACACCTTTCCATAAACCGTGTACATATCCGAATGAGCGGAGGCTCCACCGGTCCTTTTGCCTGAGACGATTTGTCGGGGACCTGCAAAGCACTTGGTAGTTACGAATAATTAAGAAAATTCCAGGCTTTCATGAGTATTCGCTGGGTCATTGTTGATCGAAAAAATAGATTTTTACCAACAATTAAATTTCCAATGGAAATTTGTACCGTTTTTGCGCTAAAAACTGCTATAAATAATGTACAAACGTATCCCACCTTATATAATTTTGGGGTGTATCTCTGTGTGTGTGTGCCCGGCGCCTGGGAGGGCTACTTTGCATGATTCCAAAAAAAATACAAATTTCCTCATTCTTGCAAGTTGCACGCGCGGGTGTGGTCGGAGGAAGAAGAAGGGGTCCGAAGGATCCAAGCCATCGGAAAGTCAAATTTCTCATGCAAAGGCCGCATTCCAGCGCCCAAGGCCCGCGAAGCGGATTTTGGGCGCTGGTCTGATATAAACTTATTTATTCAGGCTACGACCGAAAAAAGTTTCTGTTCCCGAGGGAATCTTTCTTTACCCACAAAAAAACTTTGGGCGCCAGCGAACAAAAACTATGTATACCTACCGAAACGCCGCACGCAGCTGCACTTCGGCTTATCGGCGATTCGACACTTCCGCTGGCGGTCATAGTCGAACTTCTTGCCCACACTCAGTAATGCCGAAAACTTTCGTAAAATTCCACAACTTGGAACAGTAGATATTTTTTTAAGATAAAGAATAAATGCTATGTGAGGGACAGCCACTAGCGGATCGGCCCCTTGCTGGCGTTTCCGGAGCGTTGCGTTCTCTGTTTCTCTCTCATTCGCTTATTCTCTCTGTTCCAGGGCCCTCATGACCTAGCTAGTGCTTAGACTGGCCTTACGACAACGGGATACCCCGCGGTCACGGCGCCTCAAGCCAAACAAAATGCGGCAAGTGCACAGGGCGGCTTATACGCTTGGCTCCTATGTACGCATAGTTAAAACTTTGAAGCCTTGTAGCCTATCTAAGCAGCAGCGGTGTAAAACTAAAAGCGTAGTTGTTACTTGGAGTTGCTGTCCAGGCGTCCATTCCAGGCAAAACCAATTAGCTCTGAAAAATCCGCGCGAAAAGAGAAACAGATATTTCATCTCCAATTTTGCTAAATTTCCGAGAATCGGTTCCGATTTAAAAAATTTGATCAACCTTTGGGAAAATTGACTTGTTCGAAAGGGCAATTCTTCCTGAGCATCACGCGCTAATTTGTTAGCCTGAATTTTTTCTAACGTTTTTAGGTCAATTCAAAGTGTGCCATTTAGAGAATTTTTCTAGCTAAAAAAACTCTTGTAACTTCTTCAAAATGGACATTTAGCTGTTTTTGAAAAAATCCTTTTAGCCTCCGTGCGGCGCATTTGAGGCCGATTTTAAAATCCTGTACCAAGAACAAAATACCGATTTATGATGCGAAAACTGCAAAAAAAACGGACAATTGTTCACTTCTTGCAGACGTAAATCGTATTCACCGGATAGTAGGCCGGGTTGATACGTTCAGGGTTGACAAATCCGCATTCCTTCAGTAGGGATTCCTGCTTGTGGTTGCCCCACATCGTCCCCAAACACAGCGCACCTAAAAATTTTTTGCAGCTTTTTTGGACAGTTTTTGAAAACTACAAACCTTCCTTATTACTGCCGACGGGCAGACAATGGAATAGCGAACAACCGTAGTGCATCGAGCTCCGCAGCGGATCCGTCTTTTTGTCCTCCAGAACGCTTCCGGTCGCCTTCACTTCGACCATGGCGAAGATTCCGCCCGGCTTCAGCACCCGGTGGATCTCGCGGATAGACTGGAGGTGTTCAAAATTTAAAAGGAAGATTTTTGGTACTGGACTGTTAACGGGGGGGACCGGTTTTCCGGGCTGTCATCCCGCAGAAACCCGGCATCCAGTTAACTGTAAAACCAATTTTTATTTTTCCGCATACAACTGTTAATGATAAAATTTAGACCTTTTTGGTCATTTTTTTCAGAAATTTTTGACCAAACAAGACCATAGAGGTTTACTGGGATAAATTAGATAAAATTAGACCCCCGCTAACAGCTCATTACCAATTTTTCCAGCCATTACATTTTCTAGACGAGAAATTACAATTCCTCGAAACCAACCAAATCCGGCCGCGTCTGATCGTGGCACGCATCGAAAATCGTCACAAAATCGAACGTATTTCCCCAATCGTGTGGTAGGTGCGCGGCATCGCAGGCGATAAATGTCTAAACATATTGTTTTCTATTTTTACAGGTTTTATATGCGCCGAGTAAAGTTAGAAAAGTCAAATTACTTTGCTTAAACCACTTTTATCAATCTAAAAGACTGCTAGTCCTAATTTTCTCCTCTTTTTGCGATTTTTATGCTCATAAAAACGGCAATTTTCATACCGAATTCTTCGCCCCATCCGCGGCTTTCTGCTGGTTGGCCGCTTCAATCGCTTTCAGCACGAGGTCAAGCCCGTAGAACTCGGACTTTGGGTATTCGTTAGCTGGAAATTGATGCGGAAATAATGTATATAGCTTTTTTTAGACAGTTATCTTTACCTTGCAAGCTTAATTTTACTTTTGCTATTTACGATTTTCTGAAGCTCAAAACATTAAATAAAATACCGAACAACTGCACCCGTTGCCGCATCCGATATCCAGGCATTTCATTCCACCAGCCGCCAGCTTTGCCTAAAAAAGTTTACTACTCTGCCAGCGTCAAAATTACGGCGATTCCGTGCCCGAGGTCCGGCACGACTTTTGGAATCAAATACTCGCGGTGCCGGGTTTCTAAAAAAATAATTTTCGTATTTTGCTTTGTAAAATTTCTAGAAAAACCCACGACTACACGCGGCCATCAGCGAGTAGAATTGCTGATAGTTTGCGTAGTCCATCCCTGGAAAAGATCTCAATCCTAATATAAAAAAATGGTGTTTGTGTGTGTGACACTTTGCATGCAACTTCCGTCAGGGTGTACGGAGAGGCCCGTAAGAGGGGGGCGAGGGGGGCGAGCCGCCCCCCCGAAATCGGCCGAAGGCCGAAAAGTTCATAAGGGGGGACCCTTATGATTTAATTTTTCCAAAAAATTTTTTGCCTGCGGCGCTGTTTTTGTCTATTTTTAACACTAGTTTTAGTGTTATAAACCTTATGTTTTCAAAAATTTTGCCTGCGGCGCTGTAGTTTTAGTCATATTAGTGAAAAATTTTTGGGGTCGCCCCCGAAATTTGGGTTTGTTACGGCCCTGTGTACGGAGGTTATCTCGAGAAAGGAGCAGTTTTAGGGTATGTATGATACGTCATTAGGTGCGTAATGGCTCTGAGATGGCTGCACGCTTATCAGATTTATCAAAATTGCCTATTTTCGACATTAAATTTAGGCTTTTGCTAAAAAATTGGCGACCTTCTTTGTTAGGAAAAGATTAGCATGCGCCGGAAGTTCCGCTAGCCTATATCAAGGGGCAGAGAGCGCCATTTTCATTTTTTGTCGTCGGAAATCCAAACATTATTCAAAGTTAAGTATATCGTGAGATAAGACGGGGCCAGGGTTGAAAAGCCGCGAAGCGGCTTTTCAACCCTGGGCCAAATATAAAAAACTAACCAAGGCGCGGGTTGTCCGCCCTGAACGCCTCCTCGAGCTGCTCCCTGACGTCGGCGAACAGCGGCACGAACGCCATGTTGGCGATCCACGAAGAGTTGAGCAGGCTCTAAAGCTCTCTCTAGGAGGTCAAGCTAAAAGTCAGCCTTTTTCTGCTCTTCGGTTGCCCAATATTTCTCCTCCTCATCGACCTGGAAAATACCGGCGCACGCCAGACAGGCCATCCACTCGCGGACGTAGCTGGAAACTGGGCAATTCTTTATAAAACACGGTCCGCGTGGAAAAACAACCTAAAAATTTGTAAACGCTTAAAAAGGTAAAATGTCATTCGAAATTCACCATTTTCGGGCGGAAAACCATGTTTTTTTTTGTTTTTTTTTAATAAAATTGCTTCATTTTTACCCTTAGGAATAGTAAAAATTTTTAGGAACACCTTAGCTGTGCTTGGTCAACTCCAAAAATTCTCTAGTTCCCGAAACTTCACCCACCGCGGTTTACAATTCGCTTTTTCGGCTACAGCTTCAGAGGTTGTGTGCTTCTCTGGGGATCCGAGGGCACAGAATGCCTAAATTTCCGGTCAGATTTTGCCACAAGGAGCCCACTGGTTGGCGGTCACGATTTCGAAAATCACCATTTCGAAAATCACCATTTCGAAAATCACCATTTCGAAAATCACCATTTCGAAAAATCACCATTTCGAAAGACACCATTTCGAAAAACACCATTTCGAAAAGACACCATTTCGAAAAGACACCATTTCGAAAATCACCATTTCGAAAAGTCACGATTTCGAAAATCACAATTTCGAAAATCACCATTTCGAAAATTACCATTTGGGAAACACAGGATTTAGCAATAGCCCATTTCCCAGTCGCAGAAAAAAATGATTTTCGTTGGCTGGTTTGAGGTTCGGGGGTCTATTTTTCCACTGGAAATATGATTAATTTCATTATAGACACCACCAAAACAATTTCTATTACATCAATAGTCATATCCGAGAAAAACCGTAGTTTTTTGACACTGCAATTTTTATGCCTGTTTGAAACCGGGTCTTTTCGAACTGGGGATTTTTTCGAAATGGTGTTTTTCGAAATGGTGTTTTTCGAAATCGTGACTTTTCGAAATGGTGATTTTCGAAATGGTGTCTTTTCGAAATGGTGTCTTTTCGAAATGGTGACTTTCGAAATGGTGTCTTTCGAAATGGTGATTTTTCGAAATGGTGATTTTCGAAATGGTGATTTTCGAAATGGTGATTTTCGAAATCGTGACCGGGAATCAGCCCACTACCGTTTTTTTACAGGGTGCGTCAAAAAAAAAGAGTGAAGTTTGCACCAAAATATCTCGCTTATAGTAGAGAATCGAAGGTACGTTACCATGCCAGAATGCTTAAATATGCTGGGTAAGAAGATTTAACACAACTTGATTTTTTCGATTTTTGAGTACGCAACTGTACTATTGACGCTGGTTACGACCGAAAATTGTGCGTTCTTGAACGGGTGGTGGGAAAATTCTGATTTTTGGCCTATAAATAGTTGACATTTGTAGAAAAATAATAGCAGTCTTAGAATTTTTGAAGGTTTAGTTCTTTTTTTTACAGGCAAAACAAATTTCCCTATTTTGCTTATTTTTACTTTTTAATTCGCAACTCGCTTCAAATAAGCTGCCCTTGGCTGATCTTTTGCAAGTGGTGTCGCCGAATGATAATCTTCAGCACAACACCAAATTTTACCTGATTCTATGGTATTTTAATATTGCTTGCTAAAACGTGCCCCAGAGGGATACTGTAGTTTTTGTTTTTCGCGTTTTTCTTTTTATTGTAAGCTGCGATTTCGCTTAAAATTTTACCATTGGTAAACATCAGTAAGGGTCACCTATTGGCCAAAGATCGTGGAGTTCTAGCCATATATCTTCCCAAAATATGCAAAAAACTTATTTTTGAAATTAGCCACGGAAATTTATAAATATTTTGATGCATCGGACTGAAAACTACTATTATTTGTTTTCCTGAAAGATCGAAACGTTTCTATGGTGAAAAGAACGAGAAAACGACTATTTACTGTTTTCTACCGTAACCCGCCTGGAGCACGTTTTAGCATGCCAAGACAAAATGCCATAAAATGCCAATTTTTCTATTCTAGAATGTTCTCTGAGTAATTATAAGAACGCAGGCAAAAAATTACTGGTTATCTGTGGTAAATGACAGAGTTATAAGGGAAAGTCGAAAACCCTCCTCGGGCCCCGATTTTGGACCCGACACCCTGGCCCGAAAATCGAATTTTTGAAAATGAAAAAAGGCACCAGGGTTTGGTGGATACAATTAAAGCACACATCGTACTGTGTATGAGAGCAGAATTCTGGAATGACCTGGCTGAAGTTAATGGTTAATTTTGATTTAAAACCCGAAAATAACCTTTTTGAAAAGCCGACTTTGGGGAGCTCCTCTAAATTCGTTTGCCATGGAAAGGTTTTGTATTTGCATGGGTTCTAGTTGACCACCCAAGCTGAGTTTATGCCAAAAAGTCGAGGCTACTAGAGCCTCGAGAATTTTTTACGTCGCCTCAAAGTCGGGTATATTTGCACTTTTCATGAATTTCTTTTGAGAGATCGGATCGCCCAATAAATTTGTAGATATAATCTTAAAATGCGCCAGTTAAGAAGCATCAAATAAAATTATGACAGTAATTTTAGCCGCGCAAATGAATTTTATAGACTGACACCAAGGTCTGCGACATAGCACGAACCAACCGTTTTGGAGGCGCTAAAAAGCAACCTTCCAAAGGGGTACGGTAGCTAGAAATTGTTTACATGATAGATGGACGCCAATCCTACATAACTAAGCAAAGCAAACACCGAAATTCTAGCTGCAATTTTAGAAATATTTTTCCAAAGTTCAGTTTCGTGACCTCGAAAGAATCCATGACCAGGGGGTCGTCGAAAAACTCAAAAATCCGCGAATCTGAAAAATGTTTTGATATTTTTGCGGGATTGTATAGAGCCTATAGACATGCTAAAACAGCTTTTTATGAGGTTTCCACCATAGGTTTTTGTAATAATCGAAATTTACGAAATTTCTCCATATTAAATTTTAGCACGCTATAACTTGCCAACCTGACCTTCAAAAATTGCAAAATTCCGGATGTGCGTAGGGGCAGTCCTTAGGTACCTACACTGTAAAAATTGGAACTGTTCGACCACCAGCAGGACTAAAAAATGCAAACGAAGTTTTGCCGGAACGCACAGTTTTCGGGTGTCATTTGTATTGATACGTCGCCAAAAATCGAAAAAATCAAGTTGTGTTAAATCTTCATACCCAGCATATTTAAGCATTCTGGCATGGTAACGGACCTTCGATTCTCTACTATAAGCGAGATATTTTGGTGCAAACTTCACTCTTTTTTTTTTGACGCACCCTGTACATACTTAAAATTGAGATTTTTATACCTTCTTCTGGTCCTCGGTCAGCCAATATTTCTCCTCGTCATCAACCTGGAAAATTCCGGCGCACGCCAAGCAAGCGCACCACTCGCGCACGTATCTGGAAAAAATCCGGATTGATCAGGTTTAGAAATTCTCTCTAACCTCGGCTTGCAATTGGCTTTCTGGGCCAATTCTTCAGGAGCAACATGGTGGGCGTCGGACGAGATTTCGAAAAGCACCTGATACGTTGCGTTATGGAACACCAGTATCGTTTTCACCTCAAACAACCCAAGCTTCCCGGCCGAGGGCTATCGCCAAGCTGGTCGTTCCGCCCGTCAGGAAGTTCTGGAAATCCGGTTACTTCGATTTAACCCAAATTCAAAAATTTTAAATTCCCAGCTGGATAAGCTAAGTATTTCATTAACTTTTTAGTAAAATGGAACCATATTTCTATTCGAAAAACTACCTTGTGGACTTGGTTCTGTAAAAATGTTACACCTGTTCCAAAAACTGGCATAGATCGACGTTTTTCATGCCTTCTTTAATAGAAATTGTAAAGTTATGTTAGGGGTTAGTAAAAAGTATTTAAGCATTAAAAGGTATTTTAACAATTTTCTTAAAGTAAAATTTACCTATGCTTAAAATGGAAGTCATTATCGCAAAACAAATAAAAACTAGAAGGGGCTGTGTGCTGTGGGCAGTTTAAAGGGGCTCAGAAGTCAAAATTCGTGCGTTCGGGGATTGAACCGACGGGTCAAAAAATGAAAGGGTCACTGCCGAGAAGTGCCAAAATAGTGTGTTGATTGCGAAAAAAACGTAAAATGTTTGAGAAAAACCGAATTCTGTGTGGGGCGAAAACGACATTTTGAGTGGGCGGCGATTACATGTCGTAATGCCTTGTAAGGCACCCAATCTCTCGATCTCGCACAGCGGCCCGGCTCCTAAGAAAATGTCCGGTAGCTTTGGAAAGGAGGGAAGACCGCAACGCGTGCGATAGGCGCGTCGCGCAATTGCGAAAGCAGGCCTGCGCAGCTAAAAACCGGTTGCTATTCCGCGCACCCGCACGCAACGCGCGAAAAACACGTACAGTACGCCCTTTCCCTTGAACCATCTGGACCGAACCCATGGGCGGTTGTGCTCGGTGATTCTCTAATCAATTTTCATAATTTAAAAGTCTGGAATGATCAAAATTCGTTGAGGATTCCAAAAATCGTCGCAGAATTTTTAAATTCAAGCGTTTTCGCGTCTAAACAGAGGCAAAAGATTATGCGGAGCGGTCGCGTTGCGGCCGCATCTGGCTATTTGCCAGGAATCACAGCAGGGGGCCGTGGACCAGATTTCGGAGCCCCTTTAAGAATTCTGCGTGCAGAATTCATATGAATCAAATTTTCAGTATGATTCTCAAGATTTCTAAAGTTTTTACGCTAGGAATTGATAAAAAAAAGAGTATAACAATAGTCTAGTGATTTTTCGGAAAAGTGAGACTCAGCTAGTGAATAAGCTTCGTTGCTCTATATTAGCCAGCGCGAGCAGCGTATTTGAAAGCAAGAATTTCATACTAAAAATTCAGAATGTATACCAGTAGCAGCTTGTCGTATTCGGTGGTCATGGTTGTTGTCTTCTCTAGAGCACGTGTAGAAATAGGAAATGTGTGAGAGTCAGGTAGTATCAAGACGGAAATGGTATCTTATGCGAGGTGTCCCAAAAAGACGACCTCTAGCAGTACAGAGGAATGTCCGTATACTCGCAATTTTGATGTTTTTGTTAGATTTAGTATGTCTTTAATTATCTCTTTTTTGCGAGCCATTACCTTCTCTCTTCCTCTCTCTCGCTCTCTCTCTCGCTTTCTCTCGCTATCTCTCTCTCTACCTCTCGCTATCTCTCTCGCTCTCTCTCTCTCTCCCGCTTTCTCTCGCTCTCTCGATCTCTCGCTCTCGCTCTCTCGCTTTCTCTCGCTATCTCTCTCGCTCTCTCGACCTCTCGCTCTCGCTCTCTCGCTCGCGCTCCGTCACTCTCTCTCTCTCTCACGCACTCACTCACCCTTTTTTTGAGGTATCCCCTGGTTCAAAGTTCCACCTTCTTACAGCTTATTCGCGTGTGTGGGGTGGGGGTGGGGTATTTGTGATGAGAACTGGTCTCTGATACCAGATCAATACCACCCACTTCCTTCCCTATCCCCCTCCACCCTTCAAAGCCGGCCGCCTGCACCCTTTTGCAGTCGACCCCGGGGTTTTCCGGTTGGTTGGTGCCCTGGGACTCTGATTCTTCGAACCCACACCATCGCATCAATTCCTTTCCTTTTTAAAGGGAATAGCAAGGCAGAAAATTCTTCGTACTTTCAAAATTAAGAATTTGCTACCGTATCCGGTAGCATGCACCAAACCATCTTTTTAGAATCAGCATTTCGATGAAACCTTATTCACAAGCAAAAAAGTATATTTACTAATATGGAGCATTAGGTTACTTTAAAAATATAGCATAGATACTGTCGAAATCTCATGATGTCGAAATTCGTATTGCCAAAATTCATAATGTCGAAATTTGCATAAGCTAACTTCCCGGAAAACCCCCCCGGATTTCTGGATTCTGGTAATGTCGATTACGGAATTTCGGCATTCTGAATTTCGGCAGATGAATCCCAAATCTTCAAAATAATTCAGGGAAAATGTAATTTGTTACCCTCGCCAACCTCTTCTGCCCGACCAAAACTAGTCTCGAGAAGCGGCGACTCGTTGGACATGCCGTCCACCCCCGTCATCCAATTGACCGTTTGGAGTAGTGGATGGGAAGGATGGTATGTCCATTCGTCAGTCAGTCAGTCGCGTACATAGGTGTGAAGAGGACATGTCCCCCCTACCACGCCTACCCTACGTTCGCTTTCCCCGGCATCTTGAATGCCATTGCCGTCGTCGTTGCCTTGTCCCCCCTCGAAGTCACTGTTTGTCCGGCCTTGAATGTGCCAAGATCGTCCTTTCCATCCCATTCCGGCATACACCATTACACAGAGGCAGCCCCTGTCACTTCCCGGTACCTCCAAGATGTTGCTTGAAAAGCTAGAGTAGGCCGTTAAAGGGACATTGGAGCAGGCTTTAGCTAGGCAAAACCTTTGAAAATGTATAATCGTTACAACAACTTTTCTCTTTCTCTCTCTCTCTGTCTCTCTCTGTCTCTCTCACTCGCTCTGTCTCGCTCTCTCTCACTAGCCTCTCTCTCTCTCCCTCTCTCTCTCTCTCTCTCTCTCTCTCTCTCTCTCTCTCTCGCTCGTTGGCACCAAGAAGCCTTGTGCCTTGTAAGCCCTTAAGCCGTGAATGATCTGAATTGAAAGGCTTTCCGGACTCTCCTCTCCAAAAATCCACGATTGCAAAAAACCCCGGCTGCACACCCCCGCCGATAAAAGATCAAAATCTATTTCCGCTTCAACCACACGCTACCAACCCCTTTCGGCAATTAGTAAAGTTCGAGGTGGGGAGGTGGGGAGGTGGGAGGTGGGGAGGTGGGGTGGTGGGGAGGTGGGGAGGTCTCGGGGAGGTCTCGGGGAGGTGGTTTTGAAAATAACCGTTTTTTGGCGCGTTTCGTACTAATTAATGTTCGTAATCGATTTATAAATGTTTATTGGTGTTTTCTGAACATTATTAGAGGGTTTTGGTAAAATATTTTTTTATTATTAGGTTAGATTAAGGCAAAAAGGGAAATCCTTGTAAAGAGCTGGGAAATTGAAGAAAATACATCTATTTCACGCTGTTTCTTTACAATATATTATAAAATTATAATGATGTGTTGCATGACAGGTTTTTTTAATGCCTAAGGAATAACTTCTAGCCTTTATAAGTTGCCTAGTAAGAAATTAACTAATAATATTCTATTTTGCGTGTTTTTACTCGTTTATCTTCGTCGTCATAATAATTCCTTCTTCCGGTTCCTTTTTCATCCTTCTTCTCTCTGATAACTACATTAACTATATTAACTTTACTTACCTTCTGCTAAATTAAAAGCTCCGCAGGCTTTTAATTATTTATTTTTACTAGTTTACAGGCTTTACTATGTGTTAGTTGTGTTACTGGACTGGACGTTTTTAAACTAAGCCTCTTGCAACGATCAGTTAAGCCTAAGCCTGGGCTTAGCTTCACATAAACGAATTGTAAGGCTAGTTGCGCCAAGCTAAGTCTTTTTAACCATTCTTTTTTCTATAAGTCAAAAACAAGTTTGGATGAGCAAAAAAACTATAAATAAAAGTGAGACGAACAAAGGCAACGCATTTTAATCGTTGCTTTGATACTAAAATCAGTCCTAAAACTAAAGAATCTTGAAATAATGCGCAACTAATCTATAGTATCAAACACACGTTAACAATTTTAGATGGATCAAAGGGTTTTAGTTTTTTGGTGATATCTAAAGCTAGAGAGCCTGTAAACCAATGCAAATAGAGAATTCAGAAGAACGAGAGTAAAAGAAGGAAGAATCGAGAAAGCCTGTGGAGCTTTAAATTTAATTAAAGTAGATAAAGTAGTATTAATGGTAAGTAAAGCTAATGAATGTAAGAAAACAGAACCACGAAGCGCAAGAAGGAAGAGCAAATCATTAGGAACATAGAAATAAACTATTGAAAACAAATAAAAGATACAATTAATAGTTATTTTCTTACTAGCTAACCTATAGGAAGAAGTTATGTAGCTATAGAAGTCATGTCCAAGCGCTGTATAGTAGCAAAAACCTTGCAAAAGTAATAATGATTTTAATTTTATAATATATTGTAAAGAAACAGCGTGAAATCGATGTATTTTCTTCAATTTCCCAGCTCTTTACAAGGCTTCCCTTTTTGCCTTAATCTAACCTAATAATAAAAAAATATTTTACCAAAACCCTCTAATAATGTTCAGAAAACACCAATAAACATTTATAAATCGATTACGAACATTAATTAGTACGAAACGCGCCAAAAAACGGTTATTTTCAAACCACCTCCCCGAGACCTCCCCGAGACCTCCCCACCTCCCCACCACCCCACCTCCCCACCTCCCACCTCCCCACCTCCCCACCTCGAACTTTACTAATTGCCACCCCTTTCAAACATTTTCAAAATTGCCGCTGACCCCCGTGGATTGAAATGGACGGCTTTTCTGAACCCACCACTGCCCAGCCAATTCGACACCCCCAAAAAACGGAGCTGTTTATTTGATTTTGCGCGAAAAAACAGCACGGCGGGTTCTGAATTTGGTGGAAAGCAACTTTGTGCAAGCAGTGCCAGAGCTGTTTTTGGTCCCCTAAAATTACTTGTGCTAATTTTTGCGGAGATGTCGCTGTGCGAGCATATTGTAAGTTTTATAGTCGTTTAGGGATTAGGCATTTAATTTCTCTACAACAAAATATTGGCAAGGGTCTTTTCGGGTGATGGTGGACCGGAAGGGTCGCGGAGGTGTGCGGAAATTTTTGCTAGTTTCGGCTATTTCTAAGATCTCGACTATTCTAGGTAAGAGTTTACTTTACCCTCCCCCACAGCCGAAGGGCCTCAAAGTTTTCGGTATTTTCGCTTATTTTGTCGGGATTTTCGCAACGCCATTCGATAGAGCGTCGAAAAATATACTAAGAGTTTTAATTTGAGCCTACAATAATGTAAAATAAAAAAGTTATAGCCAAAAACTTCCGGCTGGGGGGGGGTAAAGTAAACCGTAGCCCTATTCTAAATTTCTCGTTATTTTAGCCCTCTGCATATATTGGACTCCCACCATAGCGCTTCTACGTTGGAAACGACGCGAAAAACGCCGAATAGCCTCAGCGGAGAAACGGACGGTGCTTTGCGTCGGGCAAGCTTTCATGTTTCCTTTTGAAAATTTTCGTTTAGCTTGTCGATGCCGAGATGGCGTTGCTTGCGTGGCAATCCCATGATGATGCTAATCTACCATATCTGATTCGGGAAGATGTAGTGGTAGGCTTTTCGGCGCGACTTTAACTCTACGCTTGCATAGACGGCGACCATCGCGTTTGTATGTGTTTGTATGTGTATATG